GGAACACTGGGGAGGAGTACCGTGGAGAAGGAGGAGCTTTCCACAAATTAAGCCCAGCCTAGACATGCAGAGACTGAAGCACCTCCCACTACTGGATGTTCTGAACAGCTCATGGGAGAGCTGCTTAGAAGAACCTCAGTGCATCTTTCTTGGTTTTTGGAACTAGACAAGATAATTGTACTATAACTTGCACACCCTGTTCAAGATCTCTCTCTCTCTCTCTCTCTCTCTCCTCCCTCTCCTTCTCTCCCTCCCCCTCCCCTCCCTTCCCCCTGTAATGTAGATTGTACTATAGAATACTATAGAATGTAGGGTGACATCTTTCAATTTGTTGTGTCATTCCCCAGATTTGCTACCATAGCTTGGTTAAAAACTTTTCTGACATTTCTTCTGTTACTTACCATATTTATGTGGGTATTCCATCAATTCCTGTAGTCTTCCAATTTGGTAATGACCAGTGTGCTGATTTTACTTCATTAGACCAGAGGTTTTTCAAAAGTAGGGAGGTCTTAGGAACATTAATATCCCTGCTACATAAGTATTTTAGTATACTCCTCCATCTTTCTTTGATCTTCTTGGAATCAGTTATTGAATCAATTATTATCTGTCCTTTGGCATCCTTTAGCAAATCAATTCCAGATTGTAATCTACTTCTGCATTCAGAGATACTTTGGAAGACTCTCCCTGTTTTTCCTTCCATGTCTACTTCAGTGTCTTTACCGATGGCATTCTAACACTGCTTCGTCTATCAGCTCTGTGAAATACTTAGTTGAAAATTCTTTCCTGACATTTTTGGCATTGGCTTCTGTTCTTGGAAATGTTCGTGATTTGCTCTAACATCCAGTTTGCTTGCTTTTGTTTCTTTTTCTTTGACAGTCTCTTTTCACATTGATCTTTAACAACTCTTTAAGTTCATTCCAGAGGTCCTCTGGGTTCTTCATCAATAGCTCAGGGTGATTCCCAATGTTCTCATTGAAAATGGTTGGTCAAGATCATATCAGGTAAATTGTTTTTCCCCCCTCCATTTCCTTAACTTGGAAATTGTACATAAATAGGTTATGAACTGTTGTGTAGACAGCATCAGGCCATGTCTTTGATGCTCTACTTCCCTTCACCAATAGTAAAATCAATCTGAGTTCTAGGTCTCCATCTGTGTTCAGGCATTGTTTTGTTTGTTTGAAGATGGTATTAGTATTAAAGAAATCATTGGAGTAGAAGAAATCAATACGTCATTGTCCTACTTCATTTTTATTTCCAAAATTAAACAGTCCTACTATGTTTTCCTTCTTTGATGTTTCCAACTTTGACATTCTAGTTATCTATCACAAGGAGCACATCTTTCTGGCATCTTCTATGAAGTTCAAATTGAAGTTATCATAAAATTCACCAGTCTCCTCTTTTTCTTTATGATTGGAGCATAAACTTGAATAATCATATTAAGGATTGTCCATCAAATCTGACTGATATTATTCAGGATCCAATCTGGATTGGTCACCGGGACCAGAGACTTAGTCTTCTGAACTTTTGGAATAAAAAAACTAAACCTTTCCTCCTGGTGACTGACCCAGATTGGATGCTGCAACATTATTCTGGGTCATGTATACTTGCCTTCATTCATGATATTACTCAGTCATTGATTGTATTGTAGCTAAGTACTGTTTTTGTATAAGCTCCCTAACTATAAAATAGCACAATTCCTTCTTTGTTTTTAAAATCCTGAGTAATAAAATATAGAACTATATGGGAATTTCTTTTTGCATAATTGAGGAAGCTAGATATGAAAAAACAGAAATTCAAGTTATTGATCAAAGTTGTATCAATGTCAAAAATAATTTTTAAAAAAGCCATAGTAATAATTGGTAAAAAGCCACAGTGGATGTTATGACTTTAAATAGTGTTTCTCAATCTGCTTCCTGCGGCTCAGAAGTCCCGTGCTCTTCCCACTGCTGCTCGGCCTCCTCGATGCACAGAGGCAAGAGGTAGAAGCCACGACATGGGTTTGCTAGGGAGACTGCTAGGCAGACTGCAGGATAAAAATCACCCCTGCCCTGCTTGGCCACGCCCACCCAGTCGCACCCGTGTCTCGTTTAAAGCTGTCATTTAGTTTAGCTCTGAGACCAAACAAAAAATCTCAAAGAGCGGGACTGTCATGCCCCTGTTAGAATCTGAATTCGAGGGAGAGGAGGAACAGCCGATAGGGAGTGGGAGTGTGGCTCCGGAGGTTGTGAAGGAAATTGGGGAAGGGCACAGGCAGCTGGGCATTCAGAGGAAGACCCAGGCCCATCCCCTCTTCTTCCTAGGGCACACAGGGAGGAGCGGATAAGGGAGAAACGTGAATGGCATGGTCTACAGGGGAGGAAAGGGCCTTGATCCCCTTTGTGGGCTGCAGCTGTGAGGACTGTTTAAAAGGACAAACTGCACATGGGCCAGTGCTGGAAACAAAGCATGAAATAATAATTGTTTTTCAGTTCTTATCTGAGTTCTGGCATCCTTCCCAGTGTGTGTATTTTGATATCTGTGGATGTCTTAAAGTTCTTGTACTGCCTTGTCTCATTAATTCTTCAGTGTGGTTTGTGTTGTTTGTTTCTATTTATAAAATATATGTATTTTGAGTTTGAACAGAAGTTCTTCCTTTTCACAACTATTTCTGGGGGAGTTTTTTCTCCGGTCAATGATAATTGGACCTTTGAAGCCAAGTTGAAGGAATTAAAGGGATTTTACCTGTTTTTGTGACTTTGTTGCTTTTGTATGCCACCCTGGGTCATCACAGGGACTTTCTAAGCAGGAGAGAAAGCTACGGTCACCTGAAGCGGCTCCCCTTGATCACGGAAAGATTGCGTTTTAATCCCCTTTAGCCTCCGAAAGTCCCTTCTACCCTCCTGCCTTGTCTCTCAGCGCCTCTTCTCCGTGTACAGGAGGAGCTGCATTCTCGGCGATTGTTAGCCCTGTGGCCGAGGGGAAAAGTGAGGAGGCAGCAGCTGGAGAAAAAGTTGGGGAGACAGGAGGAGGGTCCCCCTTCCCAGCCAGCTGGGGCTGTTTGCGATCACTGCTGTTCCCCTTTGTGAGGGGCGGAGCCTGATGTCTTTTCTCTTGCCCACCAGTCGTGGCTAAGGAAGCACTGCTGCCGGGTACTTTTAATGCCCTCGGTAATCCAAAGCTCAGCTTCTTGCTCTCAGTCTCCTTCTGTCACAGGTGTCAGTTCAGGAGCCATGTGGGGAGGGCTACAGAAGGCTTCGCCCACCTCTCCCTTTGGTTCATCTCCAGGCAACAGTGCATGTAGCCAGAGAACTCAGAGTGGGAGAGGGAGAGAGAGGGAGAGGGAGAAAGAGATGAGATGTTGCTTCTTCTGGGAAAGAGGAGTTATCTAAGCAAGAGCCCCCTCCTCACTTTACCCCACCTGAAAGGGGAGAGGGGGGTCTCTTTTTGTTGTTATTTAAATAAAATGAAATCCACTATTTGTACCTAGTGTGGCTGTCCTTTATTTCCTGCTTTTTCAACCTCAACTGCTTTGTGCAGAACAGCTGAGGTTGAAAAAGCAGGAAAGAAGATTTTCAAACGCTGCGCACACATGTGCAGCGCTTGTCAGCTGTCTGGGTGGCACAGCTGATGATTTCTTGCAAACGCTGTGCATGCGCGCATAGTGCGTGTCAGGTGTGGCTGCATGCACAGCGCATGGCTGGTCACAAAACGTGCGCTCACCAAACCAGTTCTAACACCGGCTGGATCCCACCCCTGCATTTCGCAGTAAATAAGTGGGTTTGGGGTTGCAGTTTGGGCACGGTGCCGAAAAAGTTCATCATCACTGCCCTATGGTTTCAATGACAGGATTATGATGGCTTTGCTTAACCTATTTTGACTGGTATCCTGGCTGCCATTCTGGTAACAATTCCTACTTTGTGTTGTCAAAATTGCTTCCAAATGCTGGGGAGAAATAAATGTAGTCTCTTCTCATATATTCCTATAGGGATTCCATTTTGATTAGTACAAACGTCAGGGGGAAATATTTGTGAAATTGAATTATTGCAACAGTTACCAGTTGTGAATGTTGACATTTGAATTAAAATAATACTTATCGGCCTCATGGAAATCCAGTTCTTGAATTCAAAGTGCATTGGGTCAATTCCAGGACAGATATTTATACTTGCTGTGATTCATATTATACTGCTGTAGGTCATAATTAGTCAGATATTTCTCTTTAATGTTGACAGTCGAGTTACCTAGGAGACACTTCTGTTTTCTCAGCAAGGAACTAAGACTTTTCAAATTACCTCTGGCAGTGATTCTTCATTTTGACAACCTACATTTTAATTGTACTTTTTTAAAGTGGGGCAGAAACAATTTTTTCTAAAGTAACAGAGATATCTTGAACTTGTAAAATGCCATTAAAAAAAAATACTCTGATATGAAGGAAGACAACACTAATGTTTGTTGGTATGCTGAATTCTAGAGCTATGGTGCTCTGAGCTTGCTTGTTTTCTTGGAGACATTTCATTACCCTAACTAGGTAACATCATTAGTATTAGTTATCATTAGCACTGATTATGTTATCTAGTTAGGGTAATGAAACATCTTCAAGAAAGCAAGCAAGCACCAAGGACCACTCATTTCAACCCTGAGCTACAAATATTCTCCTTTATTCTAGGACTACATATATCATCGAATTTGGAGGGCACTAGATTGAGGAAGGCTGTTCTACAGAGATACAACAATCTATCACAAGGAAATAAAAAGTAGCAGTCTTTAGTAACTATTTAAGAGCCCATAAAATGCAGATTGAACATTGACCCTTGTGCATTTTAATTTGGAATTTCCTGATTATGTAATGTGAATTTAATAGATGGACTAAGGCTATATTTTATCTGAGGGTGTACTTCAGATTTGCATTTGTTCCCATAATGGCAACACACACACACACACACACACACACATTCACTAGCTGTAAGCCCTATAGTTTCTATTACTACTTTTATGTGTGACTTTTTTCTTCTCTCAATTTCCAGATGAGTATAGGATCAAACCTGTGGAGGAAGTCAAATACATGAAAAATGGGGGAGAAGATGATCAGAAAGTAGCTGCCAGAAACCAAGAAAACTTGGTACGTGCTGAATATTATTATTTAACAAGTTGGACGCTATTCTATGTCTCCAGTGAAAGGTGAAGTATGTAGAACACTTAAAGCACTGAAGAAGAACTTTCTTGAAAATGCCACGACTATTTATAGCTTAGAGGTAAAGTGTGAAATGCTACCTTCTCTGCTTGTCTTAATGAATTATCCCATTTTTAATGCTCTGAAGTGTGCTCCAATACAGTAGGCATATGTATTCAATCCTTTGCAAGAGGCAATACGGCTTGGCTCATGATAAATGTGTTTGCATGCAAAGGAGCTGTTACCACCCCAGAATTTACTACCTGTTGAAGAAGGAAGCTACCTGTTCTTAAGATGATATCTATCATTATTTACTCTCTGTGATCCCACCCTGAATTTTAAAGAGCTGGGCATGTAAATATACATATCCTCATAACAGAATTTAGAAGAATATTTTTAGTAATATGTTATAATGTATACTCTTGTTTCTAGCTTTATAATTTTGTAATATTCTTGTTTTATCCTCAGTTGCATATTGCCAGGGTTTGTGTGCCCTGCAGTTCTGTGGGCAAGGAGGAAATAAACTTTGTAGTAAAATAAAAGTTAAAACACTAGTCTTTATAGCATCAGAAATTTGCTTGAAAGAACAAGTACATGCTGTTTGAAATCATAGAAATCAATAATTGAAATTGATTGGTTGCCAAATGACTTGGGGAATAAGAAAAGAACAAGATTACAAAATGTTTTATTCTGAGCTCCTAGTTCTTAATTAGAATGATGAAATGAAGGGGAATATGCTGGGAGAACTCACATTTTTAGATTGGAATTCTGAACTCCCAATATTTGAAAAACTCTTGAATCCTACCTACCAGACTAAACAATACGAAGTTCCCACCATCTTACTTTTGATCTGTTAAATTTCATATACTCTGTTTTTGGGGAAATCCATTTCTGTCAGCTTTTTCTGCTAGAGAAACACTGTAAGTTGTAGAGGAGTTTAAGATATGTTTTGAGTTGTGCTTTCAGCTTTATCAACATCTTCATTTCTGGAAGAATTGCTGACTCTTTTTAAGGGAAAGGGATTGGGGCAGGGGCTGCTGTTTGCTATAAAAAAAAATCTGAAAAATTGGTATTCTGATTTGTCATCTGCAAATCCTAATTCATTTTTCATTTGTAGGTAAAAGGTATAAGATAAGATACTTTTTTATTTGACAAATATTATAGCTGTTTGTATTAACAAGTATAACAAGAGTTGGGCATTATTAAAAATGTTCATTTTTGACTCTTGATGATAAACAAATCAACGACTTCCAAGTTGAAGCAAATACGACAACTTCCTGAAAGATTTAAGATATCAATAGAAGTTTGCTGTTTCCATTTCTATGCAAATGGTGACTGTAACACATACATTAAAACTCAGTTTATTCATTTTCCTGACTAAATCAGTTTTTGATTTATACAGATTATTTAATAATCTGTTGAACAAAATGTTTATTAATGAGAATCTTTTTTCCTTTTTAATCAGAAGCAAGTAGTAAGCACTTATCCACCAACATGCTGGATAAAATTTTCTAGGTTTACTTAAAGATCACTAGCAAGGAGGAGCAAATAAAGATAGAATAAATTGAATTCATTGTGTTTACAATATCAAAATTCTCTGGAATCTTACTATATAATTCCCATTTATTTTTAAATATAAAAACAAGATTATTGATTACTGATTATTCAATTTACAAGTCTGATTATGTTTAAATTGGAGTATATCCTCTTTGTCAAATTAATATCTGATAGCATTGTGTTGTATTATATAGAAACCAGATATTCATAATCTGAATGTCCTCCAGATTCATGGACTTCAGTTCCCAGATTTCTCAGTAATTGCCATGCTAAGGAATATTTGGTTTTGAGATTTTTAAAACTTATTTTAAAGATGGTTCAGATTGGTGTTGCCCAAGTATTTAATTTTTTTCTCTGTAGGTAGTCCTCAGCTTACGACCATAATTGAGCCCAAAATTTCTGTTGCTAAGTAAGACAGTTGTTAAGTGCATTTTGACCTATCTTACTACATTTCTTGTTACAGTTGTTAAGTGAATCACTGCAGTTGTTAAGTTAGTCACCCTGTTCTTAATCAAATCTGGCTTTCCCATTGAGTTTACTTGTCAGAAGGTCACAGAAGGGTTCACATGATCCCAGGAGACTACACTTGTCATAAATATGAATCAGTTGCTAAACACCTGAATTTTGATCAGGTGTCCATGGAGATGCTGCAATAGTTGTAAATGTGAAAAATGGTCATAAGTTTCTGTGCTGTTAAAACTTTGATCACTAAATGAACTGTTGTAAGTTGAGAATTACCTGTATAAGAATTGCAACCATATTGTTTTAAATCTGGGTCCTATCTTGGGAAGAAAGTAACATTAATGCAAACTGTATCAAGATAAAATAAAACAATATCCTGTCCAAAATTTAGGAATCTATCGCAAATATCATTTATACTTATTTTAAGGCCAGTAGAATAGTTGTTGTTTCAATGGCCCTTTAGATTGGAATGGGGTCAGGTAGAAAGCACTAGTTTTGAAAATAAAATCATTTCTATGTGATATTTCATCTTTTAGTCTCTGCTTTTCTGTCATATTAAAGAAACTGTGCTCACTGTTGTAAGGTACCGGTACTTCTTATTTTGTCTGGAGAAAAGATAGAGGGAAATTTCTACTGTTCTGTCTGGAGAAATCTAAGAATTATTTTTGATATGAAGCCTTAGGGGCACTTGGAAACTGTAACTATTCATATTATTAGTACATATTCTTTATTTATAAATTACATTTTTTATCAGAGGATCACAGTTGACAAAATAAAGCAACAGAGCTGATTATCAAAAGCAATGCTTACATTCAAAACAACAGGAACAAGCACATTAAGAGGATTCAAACGCCTATGGCAAGAGATGTATCTTAAGCAGGCAGCTAAACTGAACTAATGGTGATTGCAAATACATTGCCAAGGGTAGGAAATTCCATAATGAGGGTTCCTTAATGAAGATTATGCTTTTAGAAGCATCTGGGGCTTAAGACAATGGAAAGGTTTCACCCTTTTCATTAAAGGAGACCAGTTTTGTTGGGTCAATCTTAATTTAATGCAGATAGACTTCTCTCTTCCTCTGAAAACAGATGCAGGATTATCTGGGAAATATATTTTGATTGGCTAACAAGAATGTTTTGTTCACTTCTGGTATTAGCAGTTTTCCCTCATCCTGGGGTCTTCCAGATGTTCTGGGCCTCAGCTTTCAGAATTTTCATCTGACTGAAAACCATGTGATTTGGGAGTTCTGAATTTTAAAGTTTGAAACGTTTTGGTGGATACCAAAATAGGGAAGATTGAATTAATATTTGTAAACTTTTTTGATTAGAGATGAAAAAGATAACAAAATATTCCAGTTATGGATAAAATAACTTTAAAGAAAAGCTTGAAAATTCTTTCTGAAGACAAAAAAAACTTCTTATAAATATTTAGGTATGAAATCTATGTAAATAAGGTGATGCGCCAGTTGAATAAGTACGTTTATCTTTACTTTTGAAAGGACTCACTGCTTTATCTGAACAACAGTGCATTAAGTTCATAAAAATGCCATGATAACATCTCAGTTTAACATTCCAAATAACACTGGCATAATTGTACTACAAATGATATTTCTGTATAAAATATTACCTCTGAGTAAGGTAAAATGAGATCGACAGTGTATACCTGTCATTCAGCATTAGTCTCAATGGGGCACAAATTGTTAGTTATATGCTCTTTGTTTTTCTGTACAGATTAAGAAAATGTGATTAGGCTTTGACTAATGAAAGTTGATCAACTGATTCAGAACAGTATACAACTCCATAACTCTAATTTGGATTTTTAAAAATCTAAAATAATCAGAAATTAAAACCAAGAACATAGGTTGTAAGCTACCCTATGGTTGCCAGGAACCAAACATTCCAAAAACTCAGTTAAAATTAATTATTTATCCAGAGGGGCTATTTATTTCATAAATAGTTTGTAGTTTGACAGTGTAAAAAAGGAACCACACCTCCCAGTTCAGTCAGTTCAGTTTAATGAAAAAGGTAACTGGGGTAAGTGGTGTGAGTAGTTAGCTAAAGAGTTGACTCTCTCTGTCTTTACAAACTATGGTTCCCTTCAGCACGGTGAAGTGCTCAAAGCAGCATAAGACATGTTCCACTCAAAGTAATTTTTAAAGGTCTCTATAAAAAAGTTATTAATGCCTAGTGTCTAGTTTGCCAGTCTCTAAGCTCTACCATTCACAGTTACAATCACAGTCTCTTGCAATAGAAAAGATTTTGGACAGTAATAAATCTCCCCAACTGCAGTTGTCCTGTCAAAAGAACTCCAAGCAGTCTGGGAAATCACAAATAACCTAAGAACAATATCTAACGAACTGAGTTTGTTTCACCTTTAAGCATTCTTAATTCCATTATCAAAAAAGAATTGGGTAAAAATCAAATTAATAGAAGAGTATCAAGGCAGAAGTTATTGCTCATTGAGAAAAATAATTATGCTAGTCTCAAGTTTACGAAAAAGAAAATAGTATCCTGAACATTTTCTGAGGAAATTTTATATATTTTCTTGCTGCTGTAGAAAATATTTTTGGTGAATGGATATTTGCAATTTATGTCTAGGCATGATTTATGGATCTCTGTTATTTATAAGCATCATTTATAATCCTGTGACAAATTGAAGCGCTTACATGATAATGTTCAGTTTATATATGTTTGTTCCCATTTGCTGTGTAGACTTATAATACAGATGAGAGGTTAGAGAAAGTTATATCAGGATAACTTACGGTGTAATAGCTTGACTATTTAGTTTTTACTGTTTAGCAAAGCATTTTACCTCTTCCACTCCTGGAAATGTAGTGAGAAGACAAAAAAAATTGTTTCAGGGTTAAAAGGCTGTTATAAATTATCAGGAATGAAAAGATACTAAGGGTAATAATTAAACATTCACATATC